ACAAGCTTTTATTGCGAAAGGGGTCGTAACTCCGAAAGGGGTCAAAGTTCATATACGCAGGGTCAACTGCAAAAATCTTTTACGGAGTACATTTTTATCGACTGAAAATCTTTTCGATAAATCTTGAAACAAAAAATCACACGGCGGAAAAATAATAAAGAAAAAGGAAAAAAAGAAACAGAAGAATATCAATAGGTCTTTCCAGAGAAAGCTGGAAAGACCTAATAATAATAATAAGGAGAGGAACTCGTAAGTTGAAAGAACTTGTTTCCAATCCTTTTGTTTATACAATAAAATATGTTCAAAACAAACAAACAAAGAAAATAATGAGTCATTTTATAATTATATGCTTAAAACCAAATTATTTTTTGATGTATAAAAGGTTTTTTTTTTCAATGTTCATCATAAGATTGCATATTATGCAGTCTGATTTCTGACAACTGATGAGTGGGACATTAATGAATTTCAGTTTTAGCTCCTTTGTATCAATTTTTTTAAGATTAACCCTTTTTCATATATCAGTGCAGTTTACAAGTACCGGTAGTTGAATTTAATCACAATTTTAATTTACTCAGCCACAGTGGGATTTTCTCAGTTAGAAACAGTTTATGTTACACAGTGTTTACATGTATTGGATTTTTTTCACACCTCTGTCACGCTCAACCACAAAGAGGTTGTCTCTGGTGTCTACACATAAACCCCATGGATGCTGTAGATCACAGTTATCAAAGTAACGGAGGAAATATCCGTCCTGATCTAGGATGTGGATACAGTGGTAGATATAGTCTGATGTCAGGATCTGACTTTGGCTGTCTGTTGTGATGCCGTATGGAATGAATGATCGCCAGGTAGTAGAGGGATGACCAGTGTATCTAAATCTGAGGTTTCCTGCCTGATTAACCACCACTACTGCACAGGCTTCACAGTCAGCTACACAGATATCCAGGTTCCGGTTCTCACTGATGTATTTACTGTAGTCACCTATAGATGAATACAGAGGTTTACCTTTACTATCAAACTGAATGGTTTGTCTCTCAGTGGAACCAGAGTAATGGACAACTTTTGATTGTTTATAATCATCACAGTACATGATAACCAGGAGGTCACCAGAGGAGGTACTACAGATATTGTAAGGTTCCCACCCCTGAAGTCTGATCACTTCCTGTATCTGGTCATTCTTCACTATGTTTACAGTTCTTGTATCCTGGTCAGTATAAACTAGATCTCCACTCCTTGTCACTGCTATATCACTTGGCCAGTTTCCAGACTTGGTTTGGATTGACTTCAGTAGTTTGCCCTGGAGGTTGTAGAGTTTCATGATATTGTCAGACCCACATGTCCAGATTTCTTCATCACTGAGACAGGTAACACTGTATAGTAGGTTATACCCAATGTGTATGGTGGTGATGAGCTCTGGTTTATCAAGCAGTGGTTTGATTGGAGGACAGGATACAGCTTCTGGTGTCTTCATTGTGTAGCCATGTTCTTCTGTTGTAATGGATAATGCTGACAGAGAAGCAAACATTTGATGGAGCTTTTCTCTGTTGACTTGATGTGGAGAAAAACTTGATAATTTGACATGGACTCTAGGAGGTAAACTTCTGAATTTGTCATTCCTGGATTTATATGCAGATGTTAGGGAGACATCATTGGAGTCTAGTATTTTCTTCAGTTCAACTATGCAATGTTTTACATCAGAAGTCGTCTGTTTGATTTCTTTTTCCTGTTTGTTTAGAACAGTCAGGTGTCTTTTTTTCATCTCATCAAATTCAGATTTTTGTTTGTTGACAAGGATGTTAATTTCTCTGTGCCAGTCTTCTCCTTGTTTGGTGACAGCTGATATCAGTTTCTCGTAATGTTTTTCAAGGTTTACTTTCTCTGTGTTTAAATCTAATGTAATTTCTTTGTATGTAGGATAGATTTTTACCTCTAGTTCTTTCAAGTCTTTTTGTAAATCATTTCTTTTTGAACTTAGTTTCCATAGAGCATCTGATAAATTGTGTCCTTTATGTTTCCCAGAGGAGATGCATGTAGAACAGACAGGAATGTCACATTTGTCACAGTAAAGTTCACAATGTTTCTGGATGTGGTTTGGACATTTTGGGTAGTAAGGAGCAGAAGTTCTGTGTTTGTATGGTACAACATTGTGACTTTTGGAGAAATCAGAGAGATGCTCTCCTACACAGGCCTTACAAAGGTTAATCTGACAAAAGTTACAGTGACTCTGTAATGCTGCTCTTTGACACAGGTCACAGAGGAGGAGTACTTGAGCTCTGTCCAGGGGGTCCATTATTTGAGTTTTGGTTAATTAATTTGATGACCCTGTAATTAAAAGTAAAGGGAGACTAAAATCACATGATTACAGAAACTTAAAGCAATTTTACACAAAGACAAGAGAAGTTTTAAGTTTTGTGTTTGAAATTCTAAGACAGTTTACAGCTTGGAAATGACAGTTGGGAAGTATTGAAAATTGTTTACAGTTGAACAAATGCTCTGTACATGTATATCTTGTTAGCAAAATTTTATCAGAACATATCTATAAATCAAGGCAGCAGTCTACTTCTATCACAATGCAATTAATTACATCACTTTCCTTTCACACAGGACATAACACATCAACAAACAAACACACACACAATTGTGTTACTATATCACATTCACCTCTGTTGCAAAGGGGGTAATTATATTTACATTTCATTGTAAAGTTTGTTGTAATTTTTAACATCAGTTGAAGCAAAAGTACAATGAAGCTCTTTACTGAAATACTTTCAATTAATGTGTATTTTACTACTAACACTTGAGATCAATGAAAAACCATATCATGGTATCATCATCTTGAGATCCACATATTATCTTGTGTTGTAAAATCTACTAAATAAATAATCTTCTCTCACCTGTAAATCCAACATGGCCTCTCTGATAATCCTGTATGTTACAATTTACTTCCTGGTCTTCTTTGTAAATGTTTACATGGTTACCAGGTCATGTGATTTAAATACCTGTTATATCTATATGTGTTTGTGTAGAGACATTTTAGATAGATTAAAATTATGATTTGGAAATTGCAATAATTAAGTGGTCATTGTATCCCTGAAAGAGACTTAATTAGGGGGTCTATTGGACTTGTCTATCTGTCAGTCGATCTAGCTGAATGCATGTAGTAGACATATTTTGTTAGGAAATGATCTTTTAAACTTACTCAATATATTTTTTTCAAATTTTGTAGAATTGATATGTACAATTTCCACCTAGTATTTTCTGGTTGGTTTATTGAAGTTAAAAAAAATGATGACCTAAGATTTCGTTGTACAAAAACTTCTTTGACAAAAATTGGAGAAGTGAAAATCTCTTGGCAAAACTTGGTAACAAAGAAACTACATAACTGATAGAATGGTTACAGCTTGCAATCAGAAATATGCCTCGACTTTGTACTTAAGTCATTTTGAATAAGGTCAAGGTCACAGAAAGTATTAAAAGTTATTGGGTCTTGCACTGTGACAGATCTGTGTCCTGGATGTATCAGCATCAGGACAGGTACGGGTCACAAAGCTGGGATGGGTCCTGTACTGTTATAGATCTGTGTTCTGGATGTATTAGTATTATACAGGTACAGGTCTCGAAGCTGGGATGGGTCCTGTACTGTGACAGATCTGTGTTCTGGATGTATCAGTATAAGGACAGGTACGGGACACAAAGCTGGGATGGGTCCTGTACTGTGACAGATCTGTGTTCTGGATGCGTCTGTATAAGGAAAGGTACAGGTCTCAGAAGTCTCTGTCCTATACGCAGACAGATCTTAATAAAATTTTACGAAAAGTAATTATATATCTTTGTTATCCCTCAAATTAATTGTATACACAGGATACTAGACACTGTATACGGTACTATAAAGCCCTTTACACTTCAATGTACATTCCATATGTATTTTGCTTATAAAGTGTAGCTTTCAAAACATCATTAAAGGATAAGGGGTCAGAGGGTTAAAGTGTGCATTTTATTTTGACGTCACAAATATTCAACGCTGTGGATGTGCAGTGTCAATTAAGAGAGAATTGAAAGGCTGTTGAAGTCCATAAATTGTAGCTTACCAGAAAGATAATAAATGGATTTTGAAATAAAAACACATTCAAAGTCAAGATAATGTGTTTATGTGACAACATGTCGAAAAAAAATTTCACTTTTCAATTGCACCCAGATTCCTACTGAATGCCAATCAAAAGCGCCCTCATTCTTTTCATAATGCGTTAATACACTTTTTAATTAGTCAATTTGTTTGCACACATGCTTGCAGTTAGGAGACTATATCTTTCAAAAAATAATGATTCAATGCATAAATAATTAGGGCCCCGCAAGGATTTGCGGGTGCCCTATAGTAATCACTCTGTCTGTCCGTCTGTCTGTCTGTCCGTCTGTCACTCTTCCGTCCACAAATTTTCCGTTTTTTTCTAATAACTTTTTTTATGGTTGCCCAATCAAGTTCAAATTTGGTATGGTAGTTCAGTAGGCAGAAATACATATTTTGATGCTAAGTTTGGTTCTCTATGTCTTCTGGTTTGGAGCTGGGGTGGTGGGGTAGATTCCTTAACTATGCATAAGAATGAATGGGCAACTTTTTTATGGTTGCTCAATCAAGTACAAATTTGGTATGGTAGTTCAGTAGGCAGAAATACATATTTTGATGCTAAGTTTGGTTCTCTATGTCCCCTGGTTTGGAGCTGGGGTGGTGGGGTAGATTCTTTAACTTTATATAAGAATGCATTGGCAAAGAGAGATAACTGCTGAAGATGTTCCCATTGTAAACTGAATGCTGGCTATGAGTCCCTTGGGATTAATTAGCTTTCCTCCTGAAGAAAATCCAGAGCATTATTTTTATCTGTCACATTGAGATGAATTACCACCTCTGTCTGCAAATGAAGTTTGTTTTGAAGTTAAGTCAATTTGGAATGCTATGAACACTCTGAAATGTGGATTTAAATATTATTATTAAATTTTTATAATTTATTTTTGTTTAATAGTTATGATTTCATTGAATTCTAAAAACAAGAAATAGATTAAAGAAGATTTTTTGATTTACTTTTTTTTCACTTTTAATATGTTAATTAATTTTTAAGGTAGTTGTATAAAAACCCCATTCTATCATTAATACTGAAAAAGTTCTTATTGTAACTTTAGAAGAAAATGATGAGAGAGGTACAATTAATCCTTTGGGATTAATTATCTAGCCTGCTGCAGAAAATTTAGCAGGCTTTTCTTTATCTTTAAGATTAATGAAAACCTTTGTCTGCAGCTGCTGTTTGTTTGAAGTTTAGGTCAAGCCTTCATGATATTTGCATCCATTGAAGGCTGGCATTCTATGTAACACAAGCTTCATAATTGTTTAAATATACATTCAATGTTAAGTTGTTCTTTACTGCCTAATGTAAATACAAGGATATTATTTTCAGGTTTTTGAATATTCAGGAATTATCTTGAAATTTTAAGAATACAGTTGCTGTTGCTTATTCTTCGTACATTTTTTAATCATTCCGTAAGCTGCATCCTTTTAATTCTACCCCAAGGCGGGGCCCTTGCTGACTGGTCAGTTTTCTAGTTTTACCACGTACCATCTCCTCTGAGCTCCGACTGGCAACTGCCAGCTTTCTCAAGAGTGCTCTTATTTCTACCATTGAATACCTGGACCACCCTTAGCCTCTATTGTAGCCCTCTATGATAAAGGATCATTCTCTGTAAGGCCGTTTAGCGGCCTACAATGACTTCAAATTTTCAGATAGTATTTTCTACCTTAAAAATTGCATGAATCACTAGGCTTATGTTCCAATTTAATGATAAATATAGGATGGTTAATGATACATTAGTATTTTTAATGATATAGGGTCATAAAGTAAGGTACTATCGGTCTGTATTAGCATTAGAGTAATGGAAAAACTCAATAGGGTGGCTGTGTTAGATAACTCCTAAGCATGTCATAACCACCTTTAACCAACAGGCAACACCAAAATTTGCATGTAAATTTCTAATAAATATAAAAAGTGACTACCAAATTATGAATTTGGTTAAAGGTGGTTATGACATCTAAATAAAAACTTTTCACTTCATTTCTACGATATTTGCAGAAAAAGCTTATTATAACTACTCACAATAAAGGATATCAGCTTATGTAAATTATTTCTTTTTATAAACTTTTGGTTATAGTACAATTTTCTGTTGAATTACTCATATGCATATTTACTAAAAAAAAATTTTTTTTTTTTAATTTAAAAATCTAAAAATCAAAGGACTGTTAGTATTGGATATCATGAAATTTCAAGTGAAGACGTTTCTTTGAAATGTCTGATAAAAATTAAGAAAGAAAAACTTTTTATAGAATATATGGTTTGAATATGGGTTATCTTTTATATTTATAATGATAGTTTAGTATATATATATATATAAGCTACTTTCTTGAATTTTGTTATGACTACTGCATATATTCTTTGTTTTTCCTTATGAGTACTGTATATGTTCTAGAAATGATGAAAGCAATCTTTGTTGAAGCGGGCACATGCATTAATTATTTGTGTTATAGACTCTTTTCCTATGGGTATACATATAATTTTTATATGGACACTTCGGGACGAGTTTCATGGGATCCATATTTTGTTAACTAGCTCTTAACACGCATTCTCTGTAAGCACCAAAAAATCTTGGAAACGACATGTCTCGGATTTTAATGAAATTTTCACCATAGGTGTGTCTTGGTACAAAACTAGTAACTAGTAAACCAAGTGCACGTGTGGAACTTCCGACACCATATTTACTAGTTTTGTACCAAGACACAGCTATGGTAAAAAATTCATCAAAATCCGAGACATGTCGTTTCCAAGCCCTATAGTAAATTTATTGGTGCTAACAGAGAATGTGTGTTAATATTGAGAGGACTCAATCTATTTATCACACTTCTTTGGTAGCATCGATATAAGTTATGAAAACATAAGTCCTGTCTTAGAAAATAAACTGGTAAAGAGGAGATGGATTCATAAATGTAATATTTGATTGATAATGAATGTTGCTTTACCCCATTTAAGGATTTTTCAACCAGACAAAGAAATCATCCATTTATGCATAGTTGCATAACTAACCAACTCCCAACGCGGGACGGGACCTTTTTTTTTAAAAAGGATAATATCCAAGAGACCGATGACATTTACTTTAAATGCTAAAGGCTTAAGTAGGGAACTGTCACTATCCGTGTTAAACAAATTTTTGACGCTGCACTGGGAAAGAGACTGAATTTAACCTACAGGTTTCAAGAGTGGGAAAGGAGCATCAAACCCTTAGGGTCCATTTTGTACCTGGGATTGTAGAACTCTTAATTCCGTATACAGTACTGTACTAGTATGCACCAATAACTTCAGAATCTGATATATAGTTGAAGGAACTGTTAAAATTCTGCTCCATTTTATGTTGTGCCGTTAGACACGGGGGGATGCATGGGGGGATTCTCAAGTTTTATAAATGTAAATACATAAAGTCTAGATGACATTCTTAATTGAATTTATATCGTGCAACATGAGTAATTAAATAAAAGCAAAGCCATTTTACTACGCTATTTCATTTTACTAAGAGATGTATATTTTAATGCAACCGCTCTGAGTTAAATGAATTGACTATTTACATGTATATGGATATTCATTGATATTCTTATGCTATCAATTCTTTTTTTTTTTTTTTTTTTTTTTTTGCAATGGTTGATTTTCTTTCTGAATTTCTACTTCAGTTTTATTTAATCGCAATAAAAATCCATTCAGTGCTTTTAATTATAGAGTTCAAAAGAAACTTAGAGACCCCATTTTTAACATGGTTATTTTATGCATAAAATAAGTACCACATCTATAGAAATGATATACAATTATAAATTAATTATATATGATATAATATTTTTCAATAAATTGCAAATCAAACTTTTTTCAGCACCATACAGTGTGAATTTCGTAAAGATAAGCGTTCAAAATATCCAAAATGTGGATGCATTGGAATTCTAGTCATAAAAATATCTTGAACCTTAAATTAAAAAAAAATCTTCGAATTTATTACTTAGGTCTAATGTATTCCCGACATAAATAAACAATTTTTGATTATTTACATTAAGAAATGTGCCTAGAAACTTGATTTAAATAGACGTACCCTCAATTTTTCTTTAACTGACAGCCATTTTTTATCTCTAAATCACGTGACTTAGATGATCGATGTTGAAAAACAAACAGCAAAATCATGAACTAGAATGATTAAAGTTAAATAAAATCACATTTTAAAGTAATTTTATCGTAGGCCGGAAAATGGCCTTATAGAGAATGAACCTTTGACTGAAGTAATGATAAGGACATCTTGAACACGATCTTTGTCATGAAATCCTGACCCCTAGGGGTAGGGCAGGGTCACAATGGATGATTCAAGTTTTTCATAAGAATACATAGGAAAAATCTTTAAAATTTAGTTCTTACATGATTTACTTTGTCATATTACTTACTGAAGATAGTAGCTTAATTGTGACTTGCAGCTGTCATAATTGAAATCATTTTGCTTCTTTTGTACTTGCACATGGAGATAGGCCTAAAGAAAAGGAGAAGGAAAGTGAATTTTGTCACCATAAAAGGCAATGTGCTTTACAAATGCATGTTTTATATTTCAGATTTTAAGGTCTGATTTGAATTCTAAGATATTTGATGATTTGATGAAGTTTGCCAAATCTTCACATGAATCTTTTATATTGGGAGGAGTGAAAGTGGACAGCACATCAAGGGAGATACCAACTGCAGCCTTTGTAACCGGTAACTTAAATATTTTTGTAATAAATTTGTCAGAGTTATTCAAAATGTAAGGAAGTTTGGAAGTTTTGACTTATTTTTCTAATGAACAGTATTTGAAAAAAAATCATTTTTTTTTAGTTGGCTCGCGTAGCGAGCTACTCCCTGTTGACATAGCCGTTTCAGAGCTGTAAAATTTCTCACACATTCATCAAGGTTGTCATGTATCAGTAATCCGGAATTATACATTGTGTCAGTTTTGGGTTCTATGTTTTATATCAGTTAGTTGAATAAAGATGGAAACCTCCATGTGGTTGTCTATGTGATGCGACTCCGACGACTTATATGACATGGTGTCAGAAGTTAAGGAACTTAACAAAGAAAGTAAAAGAGCTTAAAAGAGTAAGTTCACAAATAAAACAAAATAAGCAACATGACTGATGTATGTAGTGCAGTAGCTGGCTCAACGCCAAGTCTAAACTGGAACGCGGGAGACCTGCCGAAAGCATGGCAGACATTCAAAACACATGTTGAATTCATGTTTAATGGTCCGCTCAAGAAAAAGACTGAAGAAGAAAAATGCAGTTTTTTGATGATATGGGTAGGTGATAAGGGCAGAGAAATATATGGAACTTGGAATCTAAACAATGATGAGAAAAAATCACTTGAAACTTTATACGGGAAATTTAAGGCATATGTAGAACCGAAGTCCAACCACGTATTCGCTAGGTATAAATTTCAATGCATTGTACAAAGTGAAAGTGACTCATGTGAACAATTTATCACAGCTTTAAAAGTTGGTGTTAAGGACTGCGGATACCAAAATGCAGACGAGATGGTGAGAGATAGACTAGTATTCGGAGTAAGGTCGGACAAAATCCGTGAAAAACTGATAAATGAGGGCTCAAATCTCACGTTAGAGAAGGCAATAGACATTGCACGTACTTACGAGTTATCACAAGCCCAACTAAAAACAATGCATGAACAGGATCCAAAGATTGACATAATAAACAGACAGAAAATAAATCACTATACCAGTCAAGCCAAAACAAAACCCACACAAGGACCACGAAAACACTTCAAGAATCAGAAATCGTTCACAAGTTGCACAAGATGTGGTAAATCTGAGCACGAAAGAGGAGAAACTTGTCCAGCTATTGGTAGACTCTGCAGAAAATGTAACAAGCGGGACCACTACGAGTGTGTGTGTAGATCGAAAGTGTCGTATACATCAAAGCACAAATTCAAGAATAAAAGCAACAAATCCGTACATACTCTGCAGGAGGAGTTAGATGATTCAGATGACACTTTATTTCTGGGAATGCTTACCAAAGATGTTAACAGTGCGAACGCAGACTGGTCAACAAAACTACAACTTTGTGGGACAATGGTTGAATTCCAATTAGACACAGGAGCAAAATGTAATGTGTTGAACAGAAAAACTTTCGAACAGTTAAAACTTAGTGAAGAACTCAAGAAACCAGCATTTCGTTTGAAGTCGTACTCAGGACATGTGATAGAACCTAGTGGTTTTGCGCAACTTGAGGTGACTCACAAAGGATGCAAATACACGACTGATTTCTACATCATTGACTTGGACGCACCGAACGTCATTGGAGCCCAAACATGTAAATCATTGAATCTCGTCCATCGTGTGAATGTCATAAATGAGGACACCCCAGTTTTAAAGACTTTATCTGATATTTTCCCAGGAAGTGATTATGCAGATTTATTTCGAGGACTGGGTTGCCTACCAGAAACTCATTCAATCAAAATTGATGCAAGTGTACAACCTGTTGTTCACCCGCCAAGAAAAATTCCCATTTCATTATTGGATAAAGTGCGCGCTGAGCTTAAGTCTATGGAGGACTCTGGTGTGATTATTAAGCAAACAGAACCGACCCCATGGGTCAACAGCATGGTAGTGGTGAACAAAGGACAGAAGATTCGCATTTGTATTGACCCTAAGGATCTGAATAGGGCCATACTAAGAGAACATTTTCCATTAAAAACAATAGATGAAGTCATAGCCAACATGCCAAATGCCAAAGTTTTCAGTAAGCTTGATGCTGTGTCTGGCTTTTGGCAGATCAGGCTGGATGAAGAAAGCTCGAAACTTACAACTTTCAACTCTCCATTTGGGCGTTTTCGTTTTACGAGATTACCATTTGGTATAAAATCAGCATCTGAAGTGTTTCAGAAAATAACCTCACAGATGGTAGAAGACATACCAGGAGCAGAGGCGATAATAGACGATATTTTGATATGGGGTTCAACAGAACAGGAACATGATGAACGTCTCAAGAAGGTATTGGAAAAGGCCAGAGAGTTCAATCTCAAACTTAGCATGGACAAGTGTAAGATACGTTGCAAAAGTATGAAATATGTTGGACATATGTTGACAGATGAAGGCGTGAAACCGGATCCAGAGAAAATCCGTGCTGTCATAGCGATGGAAAAGCCAACCAACAAAAGTGAATTACTTACTTTCCTTGGATTTGTACAGTACCTAGGAAAATTTATGCCTCGGATGTCTGAAGTCAGCACACCATTGCGGAAACTCACTGAAAACCATGCAGATTGGAACTGGACAGCTCAGCATGACCAGAGCTTTGAAACATTAAAAACAATGGCAACGAACGCACCTGTTTTGAGGTATTATGACCCTAAGTTACCACTGACGTTATCTGTAGATGCGAGCTCTAAGGGAATTGGAGCAGTTTTGATACAAGAAGGAAGACCTATTGCATATGGTTCCCGTGCTCTTACATCATCACAACAAAACTATGCACAAATTGAAAAAGAAACATTGGCTGTTGTTTATGGATGCCAAAAATTCCACCAGTATGTCTACGGCAGAATGGTACATGTGGAAACAGATCACAAACCACTGCAGTCGATATTCAGCAAACCTCTATGTAAAGCACCTATGCGATTACAGCGACTCCTACTGACTCTACAGAAGTATGACTTGAATGTTCAATACAAGCCAGGAAAGTTACTCTACATAGCAGACACACTCAGTCGTGCATACTTACATGAAACAGAGGAAGAACTTGTTCCTGATCTGGAAGTAAACTTAGTCTCACCTGCCACATACTTACCAGTGTCACAGAAACGCTATGTTGAACTACAGGAGAAGACGGCAGATGATGATGTCTTACAGTCGTTAAGAGACACAGTCCAGAATGGCTGGCCATCAGACAAAGACCACATACCAAATTGTCTACATCCATATTGGTCATTCAGAGATGAAATCGCTTGCTTAGATGGTCTTTTATACAAAGGAGACAAGCTTATCATTCCGAAGTCAATGCAAGCAGAAATGCTCAACATTATTCACCAGGCACACATGGGAATAGTAAAATGTAAAAATCGAGCACGTGAAGTCATATATTGGCCAGGAATGTCGTCGCAAATAGAAGACATGGTCTCCAAATGTGCTATATGTGCTGAAACTCAGAACAGCAACCCGAAAGAGCCACTTGTCTTAGTTGACCTACCTGACCGCCCGTGGGCTAAAGTATCCACTGATTTGTTTATGCTGAACTCCAAACATTATATATTGACCGTCGACTACTATTCCAAATGGCCAGAAGTCATGAAATTAACTGAACCCTCAGCAACCTATGTGATTGCAGCTTTGAAAAGCCAGTTCGCAAAATATGGGATTCCTGATGAAGTGATTTCAGATAATGGTCCGCAGTACTCATGTAATGAATTCAAACAATTTGCTCAGGACTATGGATTTACTCATATTACGTCTAGTCCTTATTTTGTTCAGTCTAACGGTCAAGTAGAAAGAATGGTCCAGACAGTGAAATGCTTACTAAAGAAGTCATCAGATCCATACAAGTCTTTGATGGACTACCGCAATACGCCATTAGATATAGGTCAGTCACCAGCTCAGCTATTCTTGAACAGACGTTTGAAAACTTTACTTCCTACTACAAGTAAATTATTACGTCCATCAAACTCAAAACAAATACAGGAGAAACTACAAAAGCGACAAGTGAAATCTAAGATCTACTATGACAGAAAAGCGGGCAATGTGCTACCAGAACTCAAGGATGGAGATCCAGTTATGATTCAGGATGGTAACATCTGGAAACATGCTACAGTTAAGTCAAAACATCACGCACCGAGGTCATACATTGTGCAGACCCCTGACAGCAAACTTTACAGAAGGAATCGGAAAATGCTCAGACCAACGCAGTCGACTCCGTTAATGAGGAACATTCCGAAGGAAAACTTGCAGCCATTTGTAAATGCTGATGCAATTCCAACTCGATCAAGACCACCGAATGAAATTCCAAAACCTACCACTTCACCAGTCGCAAATCCTTCCAAACCTGTCGAGTTGAATTCGTATGCGTGTCCATCCATCCCTCAGCAAACAAGATCTGGGCGCATCGTCAAAGTACCTGCCAAGTATTCTGATTGTGAAATGTGATTGTGAAATTTAATGAACTTGTGTTACTTTATGTTTTCATTCAAAGGGGCAGAATAATCCCCACATATGGTTTGAAGGTAGTATGCCTAGTGAAAACCACATAAAGCATATTATCATTTGTTTGTATGTTAGCAGTTTATCATTTGATACTTGCTTGTTCTGTTTATTCAAAATTGTGGACACAATTCCATTTATTCTAGTCAAAAACTCTCATATTAAAGTTCAATGACTTTAGAAAATAATATTAGAATCTCTATATAAATTTAATAGTTTATTGTGTACTCTGCATTAAATACTTTTATTAATATCATTTGTACAGTAAACTTAAGAGGGGAGATGTCATGTATCAGTAATCCGGAATTATACATTGTGTCAGTTTTGGGTTCTATGTTTTATATCAGTTAGTTGAATAAAGATGGAAACCTCCATGTGGTTGTCTATGTGATGCGACTCCGACGACTTATATGACAAAGGTGATCCATATGCCAAATATTATAGTTCTAGCAAAAAATGCTTTGGTTTGAGTGATTGTATAAACTTAAGAGGTGAAAACTGTATAAAATTTCATACTGTAATATTATTTATGCCTTCATGCTTTTAAAGAAATTTTTGATTCAATATGTGTACGATGTACAGTTACTGCGTATGAATATGATGTTCAAGCATGTTAGGTGGATCTAATCGGCCCATCTGAAGTTTATTTATAATTGACCTAGAATACTCCCTAACACAAACACCTGCTGCTCTCATTAGTTGCAGCTAGTTGTTGTTGTTGAAAATCTATTTTTAGAATCCAGATTTGCTGTGGGAATCTTTAACCTAATTATTCCATAACACTGACCACTTCAGCTAATTAGCTTAAGTTCATTATAGAATCCAGTCAAAATAATACGGAAGCCCATTAGTTCCAACCTGTATTTATAAAGGAAAAGCAATATACACTTTATTCATGAACCGAACGTGGATCAGACATATAATATTCAATCTCTTAAGATGCAAAATAAACTGAATATATTAAGGTATGGTGCCCAGATGTATGAAAAAGCTCAATTGACTCGAGCGAGTCAACTCGCAGGCCCTTCAGGCCTTTGATTTTTTTTTTACATGCCCATCTTAATATTAATATAGCGATTATCACATCAGTCTGACTGCCTGTCTTTTAACAAATATTTGATGAATGTATTATGTGCCTGGGCAGTGCACTTTCTTTACATGTAAAACAGGTTCATGTTGTAAACTTTAATTTACATACTTTTCTTTCACAGGGGTAAACACACCAGACCATGGGGTGATGTTTTCAAACTTAGTAGCCTCATTGCAAGAAAATGTCAGCCCTCTGGTGGCCATTCTCAAATCTAAGGACTGTAACTCTGTTAAAAACGCACTGAGTAAAACCTTAACTCAACTGTTCCAAAATCCACTGTTGGTAAGAAACAAGTAACACATGCAGATACACATATACCCAGTGCTGGATATGTTTACGATTGTTTCTCGTTAATTGTGTTTCCAATGCATTTTATTTGTGTTCTAAATGTCTAGAAACTGACAGTATTCTTAGTAGCAAAATTCCTTTGGATGAATGTTAAAGTAGGGTGAAGTTCTTCATTAATGTGTTTCAATGAAATGATAAGATGTCCACTGATAATTAACCATATGGTTTTGAATCCATGCAAATTCAAAAATGGCATATGTGTTGGTTATGTAGATTTTTAACATACATGCAATTGTTCACCTCATCTTGAATAGGAATGCTATGTAGAGTGTAAATATATTGAAAATTTAACACCATCATTTATTTTCCTTGTACTGTATATTCATTATTGATGCATTAAAAAAGGAATATACTGTATACAGGAAAATTTTCGCCCCCGTTTTATTTTCGCCCCTTTTGCCCTCTTCTTGATTGGGCGAATTCAAATAACACAGTATTATTTCTTAAACAGAACTGTGAATGGGCGAATTTAAAACGGGGCAAAATTGTTTGAAAGTACAAAAGGGCGAAAATAACCTTGTATACAGTACATGCATGTATAAGCATAATTATTTTTCATTTAGTTTTCAGATGAAGAGGATGATGTCTCCCATAACAAAAAGAACATGGCATGTTCCATGGCGACCCTTGTATCTTGGTATCAAGACAAATACTCAGTAAGAAACTTTGAATTTGTTCTTGTTAGTGAAGTAAATTATATGTTGGCTCTTTATGCTCTTTTTTTTTCCAGAAAACCTTCTTCAATGTTTATAGATAAATACTAGTCCAAAATTAGACTTTAGTTTCAAGTATTTATTTCTTATTTATTCAGTGTAATAACTCTAGTCCAAAAAAGAGGAAGTCTGCCAGTGGTGGATCCAGAGATTTGGGGCAGTTTCCACCTATTGTTATTCTGTTTGAGGACCTGGAGTGTTTTCTACCTCACGTTCTACAGGACTTTATTTCTATATGTAGGTAAGGAACTGTTGGTAGTTCACAGTGTAAGTAGTAATTGTTTAACATTTTTTTAAAGTTGTTAATATGTTCCCATAAAATTAAATGTTCAATTTTAAAAAATGAAATAATTAAACTTTATCTTTCCAATTAACAAGACAAACAGCTGTTTCATTGCAAGGTATAACAATTTTTAAAGGTATGGCCAAATTCATTTCATGTATTTATACTGGAATTACAGTTGATAAAACTAAAAATTATTTTTTTTCTGTATATTTTGTATTTGATAGGAACTACATATGTGAGCTCCCTCTTGTATTTGTGTTTGGTATTGCCACATCAGTATCAGCTGTACATCGACTCTTACCAAATGCTGTGTCATCAATGTTGTGTATGGAAAAGTTCCAGGCACCCCCCTCCACAGAATACCTTAATATGGTCATTAACCAGGTGAGATTAATCAGGTCACAGAACACCTTAATAAAGATATCAACAAGGGGAGATAATTCAGGTCACAGAATGCCTTAATATGGTCATCAACCAGGGGAGATTACCTAGAGAATATCAAACTGTGGTTATTATCTGGTTACTTATCTAAGACCTATATCACATGCAAGTAGTTAGTTAGGTAATCTATACAAATTTTTTCAAGAATTTCAAAATATTACAACTTTTTCTTTTCAAATTGTTTGCAGTCTGATATGTGATAAGCAACCAGTTGTGATTTGCTGGTCATATTCATCAAAATACTTCAGTACTTATGCATTTTTATATGAGAAAAATAAAAAAAACAGTGGTAAAACTTTCCTGACATTTTAGATCCTGATGACCTCTGTGTACCCATTCAAGCTTGGATCTAAAGTCTTCCAGCTGTTGTTGGACATCTTTTTGTACCACGACTTCTCTGTACTCAACTTCATCAAGGGACTACAGGTGGGTCCTTTATTTGGGAAGTCTGTCGCTAAATATATTAACATCAAGCCATTTAAATGTATTGAAATACAAACAACTTTAATTGTCACTGAGTATACAAAATTTTTTTGCAAAAATAGTTTTCAACAAAAAAATATTTTGTTATAGTGAAATAGAATAATAAGTTCTCAAGGGATATATTGAACAAAAAAATTTTTAATTGACTTTACCCTGGTACATGTTTCTTTGACATTGTTTTATACTAACATTTGGAATAATAGTGAAGTTTTGATTTCATTTAATTAATCTTTGTTTTATTCCAGTTTGCAATGCAGGATCACTTCTTCACGGTCCCTGTCAGCCATCTTTGTTGTCCTCTGGATGAGCTAGAGGAACGAGTGATGAGTCTGAAGCCAAAACAAGTCGAGCAAGTCAGACGACTCATGTCGTTCAGGGGGTACAGTCTCCTTAACTTAATGTTTACCATTGTTCAGCAGACACTCAGAACTCAAGTATTGTTAAACTTAGATTTGTGTAACTAAGATGATGTTTATCCAAGATCACCACAAAAGGAAGATTTTCAAGAACTAGTTTTTGAAGCAGGTTCATTCTTAAGCTTGACTTCACCATAATTTCTTTTATTTAATAATCAGGAAATGTTTCTCATCATCCTTTAAACAAACCTAATTCAAAAGAAAAGCTTAGATGAAGCCTTTATTCTAAAAATCTTTTCATACGTAGAATTTAGATTATGCAGATTTTCTTGTTTTTGTTTTTAGATTTGTTGAGGGATGTCCACCGTCTAAACAAGAAGACATGCTGTTAGATGACAAAGTCACTAAGGTTTGTAGAGTTAGGAACTGTAACTACAGAAAAGAAGTCCATATTTATTAACACATACGAATAAAGGAGAACAATTTACGCATCAAGTCTGTTTTAATATTGTGATGTGTCCCTAGTATATTTAAGTCACTGCATAAAGGGAGATAACTTGTATATACTTTTTGGTTGCTTGAGGGGGCACAGGCAAATTGTTACATCCATTATAGATTGTATTTAGCAATTCCTGAATATGTACCATCTAGTGTTGGTGTTTTTTTTATACGCCCGTCTTAAGACGGGACGTATTATGTTATAGGCTTCATGTCCGTCCATCCGTCTGTCCGTCTGTCCATTCGTGTCCGGCTCATAACTTCAATACTATTAGGCCTAGGATTATCAAACTTTGTCAACTGATACTTCTTGGGTAGACGGTGTGTCGCGCACAAAAAGTAGGTCACTCTGACCTTTAATAAAGATGCTATGGCCAAATATGGAAAAATCCTGTCCGGCTCATAACTAGAAAACTATTAGACCTAGAGCTATCAAACTTGGCAAAAGTATACATCTTAGGTAGAAGGTGTGTCGCGACCTATTTCAAGGTCACTGTGACCTTTAATTTTAGTGAATTTTTTTAAAAAACTAAGTTTTTTAAATTTTAAATATCATAATCCTAGAAATGTAAAAAATAGAGTTGTATCCTTATTAAAAAGTATTAAATCAAGTAAAAACTTATTTTTTTCATCATATACTTTACAGCAATCTTTAACAAATGTCAATGTTAATGAGAGGAATACAGTTTGTCCCATGGGCATAATTATCAAGCACTGGTCAAGAAGAATTTTGATAGCAGAAAGTTGCATGTCAAATTAGAGAGAAATTAATGAGTTTAGTGTGAGGAGGTTACTAGTAGAGCATTGGTGTTATCTATATCCCTTGAGTATTGGGCAAATGGACAGCCAGCCTAGCTGTTAGATTAAAAATAGCTCTTGTTGGCTAGCCTAAGTTTTAAAATGAATTTGATGAAAAGTAATTAAAACTTATTTGATATTGCATAATAAACTAATAATCTGATATTATATAATATTAATTAATTAAAAACTAATTTTAAGGGGTGGGGTTGAATCAGCATGCCTACTTGTCCATATGAATTAAATGTAAAACCTGTCTGGCATTAAATCTAAAAAGAAATCATGGAGTATTTTATATGTTTTAAAAGTGTTTTAGGATAAAAAGTGCAGATCCATTAATATTTAGGGAGTAATGAGTAGACAAGCATCCAGTCAAAGATTAATTAATGAGTTCAATGTAGGAAGGCTATATGATCAAGCTCTGCCTTATCTGTATCCTTTGGGGATTAGACAGAAGAACTGCTGGTCAGTTTATAGCATATGTCATTTGATGGCCAGCCTTTCTTTTCAAAATTTATTTGGCATAGATTAAGTTGTTAAGACTAAATTGATATTGTTTATTATGATGGCCGGCATTTGACAAAGTCTAACACAAACAGTATAGAAATCTATCAGTTATATAATATTTGTCATAATTATGCCTACAGCACCGGGGATGGATAAAGAAATATTTTTTTTAAAAATGGAAAAATCATGGAAATCTTAGAATCAAGGTTGACATGATTTTCTTGCACTCTAAACTGTTAAAGATAATTGTGTAATTTTTTGACGGGCGTATCATGCTGTGGCGTGGCACTTTATTTAATATGAAGAATTGGTGGCATGATCAATGACTCTTTATAAATCAATTTCTGCATTTTAAATTTGGGAAACTCATGCTGGGAAAATAAAAATAGATAATTTTGTAATTTCCTTTTGCAAAATTGCAGAAATCTACCCGGTATATAAAATATTGACTGTTGCAGAAAATTTTGTCTAAAGTAACGATATTTTTTGGTTTTGCAAATGTCTGTGAGTTGCTAATGTCTTTAATAAGTTGTAGACACAGTTTTTGATTTTGTTGATGTCTTGATTTGGTTGCAGTCAGAATTTGTGATTTTGCTGAAGAGGATCCATACCTACCACTCCCTGCTGTATCCTGTCCTGAAATGTCTCCACATCATGGTCTCCAAAATCCCCAAACACCCACTGGGGAAACAGGTATTTTACTGATAATCTGGGAAAGTCTGCACTTATGCATATCCATATTTTTTCAATACATAAGTACAAGTACTCTAATGGCATTTATAGTTCATTCTAAAAAGTGAACAGAGGCAGTATATACATTTGATGCTAGTACCCAAATGTACATTATATGTACAATGTATATTTGTACTATGGTGTTTTTGTTGAAACAGTAAAATGAATAACATATAAAACACATGAAAAAATTTAATTATTTTCATTATTAATGTATTACTGTTGTAGATTCGTGAGGTGTACTCCAGGGTGCTGAAATCTTTTATCTGTGTTACTGTTGTATATCCGTGAGGTGTACTCCAGGGTGTTGAAGTCTTTTATCTGTGTTACTGTTGTAGATTCGTGAGGTGTACTCCAGGGTGCTGAAATCTTTTATCTGTGATTCCGAGGATTACAAAGAGTGCCTAGAACTACTCAGGTAAGTGACTTAGTCACTCAAGTAATGCTGGTAAAGTATCACAAGTCACTGGTACCCCCCTATTCCAGCCCAACCTTACCACCCTCAGGTAATGATGGTTTAGTATCGCAAGTATATGCCCCCCCCCCCCCAATTTTAATCTACCCTTACCACCCTCCACACTCACATTTTATAATTCCTTTCATCCACATCTACATTTTTTCACACATTTTATAACCCCCTTTATCAACATTCCCATTAGATATGATAGATCCTCTCTCCTTGATTTAGGATGACATCTAAGGATGAGCTGGTGGACCTGATACAGCTCTGTAGATCCTCCCTAGTACACATACCACCCTCTACATCCCACCCTTCACACACACACTTTACAGCCCCCTTTATCTATCTGATATATCACAGATTCTGTCTCATTATAATAGGATGACATCTAAGGATGAGCTGGTGGACCTGATACAGCTGTGTCGATCCTCCCTGGAGGGGACCCTGCCCCCTGACCTCGCTCAGCTCCCCACAGATCTGGACGTCCTACTGGACAAGTTTGTCAAGATTGATGGTGAGATATTACACGATAGTCCACGATGAGGCATGTTTAAAATAAGAAGTTAAATTTAAGGGGGCCGACTATAGTTTTTTTGCGTGAAATCTACAATAGCGAAACTCTTCATTTTTATACCATATATAACTTACATTAACTTCAGTGTACATGCAAAGTTTGGGGGAGGTCTACCGTCCAGGTATTTTGGGGGGACCGTCTCAAAATACAGGTACATTTACTATAGGATTATATAGGGAAATGCCAAATTTTATCACTTTAAAGCAAATTATACAAATACTACAATAGACATTTTGTTCAAACTATAATATATGATGTGTAATACTATATTATACAATATATGTAAGAAACACAAAATTCTACCAGAGGGGACATCTCAAAATGCCAAAAATTAGCAAATTTTACTATTTTTATAGAGTATTACAAAATATGACGTACACAATGGATTCACATAAAAACATAATAAACATATTGGAGATATTCTCAAATTTCTATGTTTTAAATTTCAAGAGCGTATGTTTATTACTTTTTCTTTAATAATATTATTATTATCCCTTTCTTTAAGAGCCACAGATTATCATAACGTCAAAAACACACTGCAACGACGTCAACCTACCTATCAATTGCAAAATCGGTTAAAAATAAGTTATATCAAATTGTAATTACATTTCTATACCTATAATTTCTTAATTTTGTTTAATTTCAATAATTAAGCGAAAAAAGTTGCATTAAAACAGTAAATACGCTTCATTTTACTATGATGCGCGAAATATTGCGCAATGGAAACTATAGTCGGCCCCCTTAAAAGAGGAATAAAGAAATACTTGTTAATTATTCCTTGTATTTTTGGGGACTGTTGCCTTGGTTGCAAAAATTAGTGGTCAAGAGTGGATTCCAATCTGAAAAATCGCAAGTAAAAGATGTCGTGGATAATAATTGGTTTACAGTATTATATCAGTGTGCCTCTCAGTACATGTATTAATTTATTTTGTTGATTTGACAGAGGTTGCAGAGGAGGAGACACCAGAGGGCAGCAGTGAGGAAGCTCTTCATCTGGAGAAAACCGACCTTCACACTCTACGAAAGGTTAGCAATGTTGAAAATGTGCTCTCTTTGAATTAATCAATAGTTATAATACAGGTAGTAATAGTTATAATACAGATTCAGGTTAGTTCAGGGTATAACATGCATATAATTTTCCTGCAAAACAAGACTTTTAAATTGATGCATCATGCAATCAATGATATGCTAATGAACATGTATGATAAGTCTATTACCTAGGACAGGTAACAGTATATTCATGAGAGAGAGGAGAGAAAGCTACGTTACTCTAATGCATTTTGTGTCTTTAAGAATGACACCATATATATAATGCTTGTTTTGATATGCAATTAATTGCCTTATTTCAGAGATTACAAGAGGAAGGAAAAAAGAAAAAGAAATTATCTCCATATGAAAAATTGAGATCTGAAGCTATAGATTTCTTTGATGATTTATTCAGGTACAGTTCAAAGAAATTATGGAAGCATGTATATGTACATGTCATCTTTATAGCCCTGGTACAAGAAAGTATATATTTAACCTGCCTTTACATCTTTACAGGAGGTACTTGTTATGTCCCTCCTCCCTGCCTCTCTACGAGATATTTTACTACGATGCCTGGGCGGAGATTAAGCGACACTGTAATGCCTCACCCAGATCTGTCGTCCAGATGGCGCTCAGTTCTCCCCACCACTATCTACAGGTTTGTTCTGTTCACTTAATAGCGATACTGATGTCAAGAAAATACCATCACAGGAAGGGGAACATGGAAATAAATTTATATAGACCTCCTGTCTGTAGATTCCATAGTGTGACTTCATTGAATGTGTAAACATTATCGAAAATATACCACAGAAGGTATTTTGAATGCTGTGATAAATTACGAAGCGACTATCTTGTAGTAAAAAAAAAAATTCTGAGCTTTTTGTAAAGACCTAATTTGAATTAATTGTGATTTTTTTCCAACAGGACACATGATGCATATTTCTTGCTTATTGTATTTTACATAGTCCTTCTTTTGTCTAGGAGGAGCAGTGCACTTGTCAATGACTAGCTAATTCTTAAAATCTTTTTTTCTCCCAGTGTAAATGCTGCAGTTCTGAGTCAGGTTCCATAACTCCGTCCATGCCTGATATCTGTATTGCCTACAAACTTCACCTAGAGTGTGCCCAGCTAATAAACTTATATGACTGGCTACAGGTAAATGATTAAATAAAAACGACTTGAAAAAGATATGAATTTCCTAGTACTCAGATATTTCAATCTTGTTATGTTTGCCTATTGCTATCAGATTAAAGAGGGATAACTGTGTATTATAAATTGTTTTATACAGTATAATTGTTTTGTTAGGCTTTCGCTACTGTGGTGAAATGGTTTTATACAGTATAATTGTTTTGTTAGGCTTTTGCTACTGTGGTGACGTCGGATGAAGAATTAAATGAAGAAAAGATCAAGAACCCAGACAAGGAACTACAGTATCCTTTACTCTATAGTAAACTTAACTCTACTGTAAATTAAACGTCACTCCACTGTAAACTTAACTCTATTGGAAATTTCACCCTACAGTAAAACAATGCATAAAATTTCTGATATCAACTATTTCACTACTGGTAAAGAATTGATAAAATGAATATGAAACTATATTTACAAAGCTTCAATCAAACTTCAAGTCAACTTTCTGCAAAAATAACCCTGAAGTGAACACTTTGTTAGATGGAAAAATAGCAAAATTTTACCCCTGAAAAAAATTTACAGCAGTCTAAATGGATTTTCTTGTAAAATACATGATTTATTTAAAAGGGAAACATTAAAAATTTTCATCATAAATGTCATGTACAGCAAAACTTGTTTAGTACGAACACGGATATTGCGAATTTACGGATATAGCGAAGTCATCTTGGATCCCTAGCTATATAAATTTAATGTCTTTTTTAAACGGTTATAACGAATTACGGATAAAGCAGGGCTCGAGCTGTGATTCGCCATTGTCGCCAATTGCGAATTTTTTTCAAAAGTGGCGAAAAGAAATTCATAAGTGGCGAAAATGAATTTCTTAGATGTACCATGTACAAAATTTGTGTAGACTTGATTAGCTCCTTTGTTTATTCAATGTAATATATACAGATAAGTCCCTTTGTTTATTTAATGCAGCAGAGGTGTGAAAACTGAAACCTACATGTAGGAAATCACGTCTCGCTTGAACTAACACAGCTGACTAGGTAATAAGCCTGGAGCAATAAAGGGTTACAAAATTGCTTGAAATAATATAATTTGGATTAAACAAGGGGGGGATAAAGTTTTAATAGGAGATGAAGTTAGTAAATAAAAGATTTTTATCAACAAAATCTGGATCTATGTAGATTGTTTTTTTTAAACCGAAAGTAGGGAACATGACGAAAATTGTAAAGAATGCCTTCAAAGTTTACCTAATGAAAATTGAAAAATGTGTACATTATACCATAAACTGACACAGAGTGAAAAAGAAATTGGTTTGAAAACAGAATTATCTTTAGTTAGTAAATTACACTGAATTATTTACATTGACATGAGCTTGCATATTAAACCCCGGCCGGAGTCTCCAAGTTGTTAAAATAAAGTCAAGTTCAAAACCTAATTTTCATTACTTTTTAATTTCTTCTTTTCACAATTAATGAAATGATGAAAACTTCCATTTTTAAAAAAATGTCATATATTTTTATTGGGTCTTTAGCCCCCCCCCCCCCTTTCCAGGCAAAAATATTATAATCAAGAGGAGATTTTCTGTCAAGAGTTGGCTAATATCAATTCAATATCAAATTAATTGTATAATTCCAACAGTTTTTAGCTCACCTCAACGAAGTTGGGGGAAGCTTATGTGATACCCTCGGCGTCGGCGTCGGTGTCGGCGTCGGCGTCGGCGTCCCGGGTTAAGGTTAAGTTTTTTGGAGCAGTTTTCTTTTAAAGTACTTCTATGTCCTATATTGATTAGACATGCATGGAAGATGTTGCTAGTGTGTTTCATTGTACCAGTCAAAGTTTCAGATGCTGCAATTTCAGCAAAGGAATGACCAGGTTAATGTTTTTGGTGCAGGTTAACATTTTTGGTGCAGTTTTTGGTGTAGGTCTCATTTCCGAGTAACTATAAGCCCTATGTTGACCAAACTTACATGGATGATACATCTTATGATGCATACTACCAGCCTTGCTTCGGATGCTGAATCTGACCTACATTTTCTGGTTGAGTGAACAGGTTAAAGTTTTTGGTGATGGTTTCATTTTGAAGATACGTTGAGCCCTATAATGACCAAACTTGCATGGATGGTACATCTTAGAATGTATTGTACTAAACTTGCTTCGGATGCTGAATCTGACCTACATTTTCCGGTTGAGTGAACAGGTTAAAGTTTTTGGTGCAGGTTTCATTTCCAAGTTACTATGAGACATATAATGACCAAACTTACATGGATGATACATCTTAGGATGCATACTACCAGCCTTGCTTCGGATGCTGAATCTGACCTACATTTTCCGGTTGAGTGAACAGGTTAAAGTTTTTGGTGAAGGTTTCATTTCGAAGATACGTTGAGCCCTATAATGACCAAACTTGCATGGATGGTACATCTTAGGATGTAATCTACTAGACTTGCTTCGGATGCTGAATCTGACCTACATTTTCCGGTTGAGTGAACAGGTTAAAGTTTTTGGTGCAGGTTTCATTTCCAAGCTACTATGAGACATATAATGACCAAACTTGCATGGATGGTACATCTTAGGATGCATATTACAAGACCTGCTTCGGATGCTGAATCTGACCTAAATTTTCCGGTTGAGTGAACAGGTTAAAATTTTGGATGCAGGTTTCATTTCCAAGGTACAGTACTATGAACCCTATAACGACTAAATTGCATGGATGGTACATCTTAGGATGCATACTACCAGACTTGCTTCGGATGCTGAATCTGACCTACATTTTCTGGACGAGTAAACAGGTTAAAGTTTATGGTACAGGATTCATTTCCAAGTAACTTTGAGCTCTATAATGACCAAACTTGCATGGATGGTTCATCTAAGGGTGCATTCTACAAGGCTGGCTTCGGATGCTGAATCTGACCTACATTTTCTGGATTAGTGGAAAGGTTAATTTTTTTATACAGGTTTCATTTGCAAGTAACTTTAAGCCCTATGTTGACCAAACTTGCATGGATGATGCATCTTAGGATGCACACTAATGGACTTGCTTCAGATTCTGAATTCGACATACATTTTCCAGATAATAGACCTTGTAAAAGTTATGGGTGCAAGTCTATCACCAAGAAACTATAAGGCTTATATAAACCAGTTGCACAAATGATGCATCAAGGGATGAAAACTCTCAATCTTGCTTCAGATGCTGGATTTTAATTACATTTTCATGATGAAGAACTAGTTTTTAGTTTTTATATAGGTCTATTCCAAAGTATCAAACTTGCATAAATTTTGCATTTTTGGATGTACACTTTTTGTTGGTTAATTGTGTGACTTAATTTGCCTTACTTAAAGACAACACACGTTGAGGTGAGCTCTGTAATCTCTGATTACCTATGTTTTTTTCTTATTTTAAATGGATACCATCATAAGCTTTAAACATTACAATTTTAAAACAATGTCTGTGATAAATTTAATTTAAAAAAATTGAATAACATAAAGTGCATTGCATTGTCGAGAAATCAGATGTAAGTATGCCTTTCCTTTTGTCGCGAAAAGTGGCGAAAAATATTTTCAGTCCAGTGGGAGCCCTCGATAAAGCGAAGTAATTTCAGAGGTCCCAGTGACTTTGTTATAACTAAGTTTTTCTGTATAAGCATTTCTACTCACAGTTTATTTAATTACAATAACATTCCAAGCCTGCAGCTGCCCAATACTGAATTCTTCCATGCCTCACAAATGTTTAGTTTTCCTCCTTAACCTGTCCTCAGAGCCCGATTTATCAGAGCTGTGTCTGAACTTCAGTTTCTAGGATTTGTGAAACCCACCAAGAGGAAAACGGATCATGTGGCTCGCCTCACATGGGGTGGTTGCTGAGTAAAGAGAGGGGTGGATCCAAGGGTAATAAATCACTAAATCAAGGAGTGGATCCAAGAATACATTTACCAAAACAAGGAGTGGATCCAAGAGTACATTTACCAAAACAAGGAGTTGATACAGATAATTTAGTGCTGAACAATTACTTAATCAAGGTGGTGGATCCAATGATGATAAATCAATGTTGAACATTCACCTACACAATTATCAAAGGATGGATGTAGTAACTGATAATTTGGTGTTGACCAAATAGATGAGCTTGTTACATATTTCTGATTAAAGAGATGAATGTACTAATCTCAAAAAGAGAATTATTTATAGTTGTTCATCAAACAATAAAATGTCACAACTTTTGTATGAAATGATTTATCTCTTTGTTAATTTCATTTTGCTTGGATTCTAAGTTTCTTAATTTTTGTATCAGTATATACATAGAATTTTATTGAGCAAGTAAAGCCAAAAGTAGTTAACCCACTTTTCTTTATGTGCAAGAAATATCAGCAAGCTTTGAACCTTTCTTTGTGAATATTTCTCATAGCAAACTACATTTTATTTAATATAATGCATGTATGTCGCTAGCTGCAATAATGTAGCCCTCTTTGATTTTTTGGGGGGGAAGAGAACAAGAGGCCCATGGGCCACATCGCTCACCTGAGAAGCTTTGACCATTCTGTTTTTTACCAGACTTCCCCCTTGTAATACATAATGCATCCCCACTCTACCCCACTGATCATAATTTAGACATTTTGAAATCTACACTACCCAAGGATCCTTCCATGTGCACATAAGTTTCAGCTTTTCTGGCCCAGTGGCTCTTGAGAAGAAGATTTTCAAAGATTTTTCCTATATATTTCGATGTAAAACTTTGATTTCCAATTGGCCCCACCCTTCCTCCGGGGGTCATGATTTGAACAATTTAGAATCTACACTATACCAGGATGCTTCCACATAAGTTTCAGCTTTTCTGGCCCAGTGGTTCTTGAGAAGAAGATTTTCAAAGATTTTTCCTATATATTCCTATGTAAAACTTTAATTTCCCATTGTGGCCCCGCCCTTCCCCCGGGGGCCATGATTTGAACAATTTAGAATCTACACTACCCCTGCTTCCATATAAGTTTCAGCTTTTCTGGCCCAGAGGCTCTTGAGAAGAAGATTTTCAAAGATTTTTCCTATATATTTCGATGTAAAACTTTGATTCCCCATTGTGGCTCCGCCCTTCCCTGGGGGTCATGATTTGAACAATTCAGAATCTACACTATACTAGGATGCTTCCACATAAGTTTCAGCTTTTCTGGCCCAGCGGTTCTTTAGAAGAAGATTTTCAAAGAGTTTTCCTATATATTTCGATGTAAAACTTTGATCCCCATTGTGGCCCCGCCTTCCCCCCGGGGGTCATGATTTGAACAATTTAGAATCTACACTACCCCTGCTTCCATATAAGTTTCAGCTTTTCTGGCCCAGTGGCTCTTGAGAAGAAGATTTTCAAAGATTTTTCCTATATATTTCTATGTAAAACTTTGATTCCCCATTGTGGCCCCACCCTTCCCCCGGGGGTCATGATTTGAACAATTTAGAATCTACACTACCCTAGGATGCTTCCACATAAGTTTCAGCTTTTCTGACCCAGTGGTTCTTGAGAAGAAGATTTTTTAATGACCCTACCCTATTTTTGTCTTTTCTTGATTATCTCCCCTTGTGAGAGGACTTGGCCCTTTATTTTAACAATTTAAATTTCCCTTTACCCAAGGATGCTTTGTACCAATTTTGGTCAAAATTGGCCCAGTGGTTCTTGAGAAGAAGTCGAAAATGTGAAAAGTTTACAGACGGACAGACAGACAGACGGACGGACAGACGGACGGACGACGGACAAAATGTGATCAGAAAAGCTCACTTGAGCCTTCGGCTCAGGTGAGGTAAAAATATCAGATAAAAAAAGAATTGGAGAGTGCTACATTATTGCAATCTTATTAAAATTAGATGTTAGATCCGTTCGCATACTCGCTACACTAACGTTAGTGTAGCGATCTAACACCTAATTTTAATTAGATTGACATTATTGCAGCTAGTATGTCGCTCAAGTCATTCAATAATAATAGTTGTTCACAGTACTATTAAAAATTAGCTAAGCTTAGAATCCAAGCAAAACGACAGTCATGCACGTAGATGCAGTTGAATTGATGCTCCATACATGTAATGTTGGAGGAACTTTCAAACAGGTGCTGGAGGCATTGGCTTGAGATTGAACTACAATGGTGTCGATAAATTCATGGGGGGTCCATGATTGACTACACAAGTTTATAGCACCTGTACATGAAATAACTACAAGTTTACCGTACCTGTACATGAAATAACTGTACAACTTTATAGTACCCATACATGAAATGAATAAATTGGATAAATATACAGAAAATCCATGATCTAAATCTGATGAACAGTTATATTACAACCCAACAACACTCTTTTTAAAGGAGTTTTATTCTTCATATTTAATGTTTTAGTGTTACATAAAAAAGACAGCAAGTTTTATACTTACACATTTTCTTGTCTGTTAACACAATTCTTTATATCATTTGCATAATTCAACATAAAAATGTGATCCATGATTTTTTTTTAATGGTCAGAAAAAGATATGGTAAAAATACTTTTACATTTTTTTCATATTTAAAAAATAAAGCATTATTTCTTAAAAATAAATGACTTTCCAGATGTACTACTTGTACTTCAACTTTGAAATTAAATTTCTTTTTGACATGATGCAAAACGATAGAACTTGTATCAGGTAAAATCATAAAAATAGACTCGATTCCTAAATTATTTGAATGCATTTCAAGGTCCTACTATTATCATTTTACTAACAGCGTGACAATTTGCTTGATGTGGCGTGCTAAACTTTTGTGTGCTGATTTTCATTTTGCTCATCAATTGGATTGAAATTTTCATAGAATCTTTATTACATATTGCCGTTGTGCACCTTCTATTTTTCATCCTACACATATTTTGGTTTTCCCATTGCAAAACATGGACACTGCCATTATAATTAATTCATATTAGAGGCAGTTGATCAATTATATAACTCACTGCTCACAGAACCTCTAGTTCATCTTCCAATTTGTAATATATTTTTCCTTGGCACATTTACCCACGTGTTATGAAAATTTCAGTTTCACTGGAATAATATCAATGTTGATATAATGTGGATTTTCACACAGCATCCTTTTAAAAGCCAACAGGTTTGTAATATAAAACTTCTCTGTTAATATAAATGTGTTTCAATTACACGAACATTATACATGGAGAAAGTCGGAACTTAAATTTTTTTAATATTGTGAAGAAAAAAGCAATACCAAGTTAAAAACAAAAATTTAATGACCAAACATAAAAACAGGGATATATGTGTTTGTGTGCGTACAAATTATCTGGTATGTAAATGAAGTTTTTATTTTATTTAATAAAAATATATAATTCATTTTGTAGCTTTTAATCGCGATTCTACGAAAACATCGGTGTCCGTTTTTTGTTTTAACATTTATAACAAAGTACTAGATTTACCGCTTTTTGGCAGGTTATACTGCTGATTTAATAATAAATACGCATGTTTCCAAAAGTTTTTAGGTATTAATGAATTTATCTAAACCAAGAAAATGTTCATGAAAATAAATTCTGTGCACCAGTAAAACAGAAATTGCTTAAAATTCAAAATCCGGGACCGTCGGGATTCAGGCGTCGGGAAGACTAGATTTACCGCTTGCCGTCAGTATGTAGAGTTGTCGTTCGTCTCTCTTTCAGTCTTTATAGATGATGCTACACTAAAAATGAGTTCCTTTACGAAAAACTTTTGATGTTCTTTATAATTTAGTTTTACTTTGAAAGAAATCTTATATTCAGAATAAGATTACTTTATCATTACATTTACTTACATTTCAAATTATAAAAATCAGATCAATTTGAGGAGAAAATGACATGAACTATTTGTGGCGGATGTTTATGCATGTTTTCTGTTGAATATCATCGGAGTAAATTGGTCGACACAGTAGCCTCGCTTTCGGCTCTATATAATCAACACAAATTACTGCGCATGTTAAATGCGTGATGACCAAGGGAGATTGAACATAATTCAACTCCCAAAAACTATATACCCCCGAAACTTTGTTTACAGGGGCATAAGTATAACATTAAAGTAATAACTTTTTCATCATCCAACATTTGTTTTTATTTTCTATTGGTGAAAAACTCCTAAAATCATGATATGTAAGTACATGTAGAACGGGAAAACGATACTCACATGTGCCAATTTTTGGAAGATGCGCACTCTTTTTTTGTAGTAAATCATGTTTTATGTTACAACCCCATTTTGTTAGCTTTTCCAACACTAGCAAACGACAAAAGACATTTTGACAGGTTTTGAGCTAAACCACATTTTGTTTCCCTTGTATGATAAGTCAGAGGCAATTTAATTTCGTACTTATTTTACAAATTAAATCATCCCTAATTTTTTATTAGAAGTTTGAAACTTCATTCATAGAAAATCAAATATTTTTATAAGATCTAATTTTCTAAGCTAGCGCCCTTGTTCGCGCCAGTTTTAAAAGCAGGGATCAAAAACAACGATTAACTTTTGAAAAATAGCTATTTATTTTGGTTTTTGCAAATTATTTATCCAGGGTAAAATCAAAGAGATTTAAGATTAATTGATTATGGAAAATTTTTCCGACACCAGCTAGAAAATAACCTTTTTTAAAGTTTAAAATGACAACTGTGAAAACTTACTGTATAAAATGTAATAAAAGTTTCTATGAATGCGCGTATCTTTGCTCTAATATAGCCTTTAGTTAGAACATTTTAATATTGTTTTCCTTTAATGGGGATAAAACAGTTTGTATTATTAATGTAAAGTATTGTATAGCTTTGATTTCGTTATTTAAGCTTAAAAGTTTTCAGAAATTAACACTTCAAAGCATAAGGCAGGTTGTATGACCCGTATACATTCGCCTAACAAGCAATTCCTATCAAAACGAATGTATTTGCATAAAAAAATGACAAGGGGTCTTTATTCTACGGGGTCATTTTTCTACAATGCACGGAGAAAAACGACCCCAAGGCCATAATTTCTACAGAAAAAGAAGAACAAAACAGTGTTAGGGCGCAGTGATATAAACAGGTGCCAATATTCTACTGGGTCACTTTTCGTCGTTACACCGGCGTAGAGCTACGACTGGGCGTAATACCTCTGATGAAACGGGCCCCTGACTATCAATCACAGCATTAAAACAACTTTATTTCCGTGGGAAATCCAAAATGTTTATTCGGAATAAGAATTTCCAAATTACATTTGAACATCACGATTTTTTTTAAATCTGTGTCC